GAGAACCACCCCTGTCCACATACACATACTTCTGAGCCTTCTGGCATATGCAGTGAGCATAAACCTTGGCTGGCTACTACTACTAGCCAAAATCTGAAAACCTCTTGCTTGGGCAAAGGTACTTGAAGGTGATTTTATTTCATGTTTCCCTAGGTTTAAATAGGTTAAAATAGGTTGAAAGAATAAATGAATGGCATTGTCCAGATGAAGTGAACCATATTGGGAAATCCTTGATTTAAAATGGAACTGATTTCAGATCTTCTGAATGCTTCTGCTTTGTGAACACTGGGAACAAGATGTCTGGTTGGCCTTAGGCTGGAAAAAAAAAATGACCAGATTGTCTGGAAGTAGCCCTGGCTGAGATCTTAATTTGCCAGTGAGCAAATGCTTTCAGACATCACAGAGTCAACTAAAAGCAGTGCTTAGACATGGAGTAATAATAAACATGAGCTAGTTGTGTTAATTCTTGATATGATTAACATGGCTTTGAAGTCATATTCAAGTGCCAGATTCTCCTTTGTTTGTAGCGGTGTTTGTATAGCTCATGGTACGGGTCACTCTCATAACATTTGCATTAGACAGTATCATGATTCTAACATATGACATAAATGAGTCCCTTAAAGCACTATCTGCTATTGGATTTGAGTCTTGAACTTTGTCCTACGATCCAATCCACAGACTCTTTGCTATTGCCAATTACAGGAAAAGGAGGCAGTTTGAGGTATCACAGTATTGAGGGGAATTCCAAGAAAACAGAGTTTGTTTAGTGAAAGGCATTGTCCTGAACATTAATGGGATTTGTGTTTAATTTCCTGCTCTTTTATTCCACTGACTGAAACAACAATGCCATTTAAGAGATAACAATCAGCATATATTTGCAAGTTATTTTGTGGGTTAGAACTAAAGCCATTATTACAATATCAGTGAATGGGGAACAAAGTCTCCCAAAGACAGCCACAATATATTTAAATATAACTTGCATTCATGAAGCCTAAAACAAGTCATTCTATTCTATGCCAGCTTCTAGGAGACATATGTCTGACTTCCTTTCAGGAAACAAGGGCCTGGCCCAATATGGATGAGCAGCAAGCCAAAGCTGCCATTTATAGCACAAAGCAAGTCCAAATGCAGCCAAAGGCATTCAGAAACAGAAAAAGAAACTTTCTCCAGACCAATACTTTAAGTACTGT